GGGGGGGGGTCTTCGACCTGAAAAATCAGGGGTTAGGATTTGCACCCGGTCGAAAGAAACCTTGCTATCGCAAGAGTAACTCCAGCTAGCTTCGCTAGCTTTCGTGATAATCTGATCGTTGCAAGAGAACTGCCTTTTTGTAAGTTGTCCTCAGATCAACATTGTTTCGTTCCTGGCCGCTGAGGTTGTGGTATCAAATGAAGTGCCCACATCTGTACGGAATTATGCTTGCCGAGGCACGCTCACAACAAGCGCAACTGCACTCATCAGCTGCCTCAGGAACGGATGAAATTGGAAAATATGTCAGCGTCTCAAAGCGAACACTAAGATTGAGTTCCGGAATGGAGCAGTATACAGTATATACATCTTTCATGGTTTCTTTTAAATGCTACCATGTAAACCAGCCAATCATCTCACTACAGGAACCGGGTGGCCATTTCGACTGGTTTGTTAGAGAAGGCCGGTATTGTATGCTTTGAATTTTGAATTGATTGCAAGCATCGTGTCAGAGATTAGGTGTGGGTGACATATGTGCACGAATTTCCAGGTGCATGTAGGCGCAGTTGGTAGATCTACAATTTCATGGGGGTTCAAACGCGACATTAGATCCCACTGGCCATGCATTTTGAGTGATTTTTGAACGGAACTATATAGATGGGGTAATCCTGTCATGGAGGGACTATAGACGAGGCCGGGATATGCTGAGTTCCAAATGACCTGCTTCCTTCAAGCTAAAAAAGAGCATAATGACTTTTCCGTCGGGGTGACAAAACGAATGGTGGAGGGGAATGGAATGATGGAGGGCCTTCACAGTGCGGTCCAACCTAATAGCGATGGTGTCCAACCTCATAGCAATGACCTCCAACCTAGAAGCAATGGCCTCCGGGATCTCATGTCATTCCAAGATTGAATCCTGCTCACAGGACAGCTCGGCTCAATAAAGAGAGTCTACCCAGTCTAATTACCCCTCCTGTGGAACTTGACTCACACCTGTGGGTGCCGCCCCAAGTCCTTGAATCCCTTCTACTACTCATTGTCGCTCTGACAAGAGCTCTGGACGTGCATCCCACCTGTTTCATCTTCTCCTTTGCCAAAACGCAATGGTACCTGTCACTCCGCTGCTTTGTGACGCATGGATCCTCTAATCGTTGAGTACACTGGATGGTTGGGTTTGATGGAGTGCATGGATGCCTCACAAAAGCCGGATGTTGCTTTCAGTTCACCGGAATGAAGATTCCATGAAGATTGACGCACTTGTTTCATTATTTTTCTCTTTCATTCTGCAAGTGTGTGGGGTGTCTTTCTAATTGCGTCCGTTTCATGGACAAGGTTGATCCTGGGATGGTGTGTACTGTAAAAGTAAAAAAAATTGTCAAACAAGCTGGCCCGCGACAGAAGCCTGATTGGGTGACTGAATGTGGCCCAGAAGGATTATCAGGGCCTCAAGTTCTTAAACGTTGACCGAGAACGAGGTTATAGCACTTTTATGAAACTGAAACTGATGTTGCTGCTTGCTTTGCCTTATACTTATCGCGACAACTAGTGGCTGCAATGCTTCCCGGCAGGCACCACAATTCCAACAATTGCACACCTCGATTCATGGAATGACACAAACCCAACAACTTCCACTCGCAGCAGCATACGGCGGATACACTGCATATATCTTCGAATACCACAACATGAAGGTGCATGAAGCATGCTTTCATGACAATCCTACCTTTTCTACATGTTTTGCCTTTTGGATGTTTGAACAAGCTGAACCTATGGTATTTCAGGGTTCTATTTGTCAGAAAACGATGCTTGCATGGGACCTGCAGTGAACAGTTTGTTCCACACGTCCCGGACTATGGGAGATCTCTTTCCACTGGACGAAATGGCGCTACCATCTCTCGGGGCTCTGTTGCAATTTCATCAACAAGGGAGCCCTGGCTGAGGCAGGCACTCGCAGTCTTCTTTTCACATTTCACACAATTGCCTCACCATGTTCTTCTGAAGAGTTTCCCCTAGTGCCAAATAACTGCACCAGCTGACTATGCAAACTAGTTTGTCTTTTGTGGAGCTCTTTAGTTCTGAAATACCTGCAGATTATTTGGGAATTGGTCACATGTTGCTGAAAGTTCTACCATCTTTGCTGGTGTGACTGGTGCGCTGCCCTTCTTGACTGCGAGTCTTTGGAAAGTTTCCGTGGTATGTGGACGAGTGAACCGAAACGGACGCGGAGAAATCAAAAGTGATCTCGTGGGATGTTCATCTCCAAGCCTTTGGGAATTCATTTCTAAATTGTTAACATTGCATTTCTGCGGATCTTTGAGCTCTCAAGGCGGTCTGCGGTACATTTCTTATTTGACACACATGCACACTACATGACTGCTCGTGTTGAGTCTGGTTGCTCTAGTTTCGCACTCTCCCTTGGAGCGCGGTGAGCACCGCTTCGTGCTCCACTACAGCTATCGTCCCATCACACCAGGCCATTCATCATGGTCCATGAACTGGTACAGCTCTTCCATTAGTTCGTTGAGCCTACCTGCCTGTCTACTGTCACCTTCCCTGGTGTAATGGAACCAACTGGTTTCCAAAACATTAAGGTTTTGTCTAACCCTCAAAGCTGCTCTACTTCGCAGCGGTGTTCCAGTGATTAAATTTCACTGCTGGAATCTCTACCGGTGGGGGATGCCAAGACTCTGTCTTTGATCCTTCCATCTCCACATATTCAGCCGCAGCATCATCCGAGCTCGCCGCTGCAGCATCTGGTAGATGTTCTGGATCAGCAGTTTCTCCTTCTCTTGGTCTCACCTCCACATACTCTTCAGGGATTTCCACTGTCTCGCCACTGTCCAACCGGACTGTGACGGTATTCTCTGATAGCGCTCTATCTTCTCCTTCAGCTGCTCCACTGCTTCTGGCCTCTTCTGCACTCACTGGGGGGTGTTCTTGGTGGTGGTCTTCCTGCCGCTGCTGCTGCCGCTTCAGATGCTGACCGGTAGGACCTCTTGATGAAGGGTCGTCCTTCTCGCTCAGCTTGCCGAATTCCAACGGTCTTCCATTGTTCTGACAGCAGGACTCCGGCTTTGACTCTATTCCTTTGTTCAAGGAATTCCATGAACCTGCGGTCATCTGGTTCAATTGAATTCAAATCGACGAAGCCGCCGGTCTTGATCAAGCCCTCGTGCACCCTCTCGATGCAGTCAACTGCCATCGAGATCTGGCGGTTGTGCCAGTCCATCCAGTTGTCTTCACGGGTTTTCTCTTCTCGCAAGCGGCTTTCCAGCACTTCTATTTTGGTGGTGAGGGCTTTCACTTTTCCAAACAACCAAATCACCAGACCCAGTAGGAGGCCAATGCACAAAAACATCAACCACCCTTCTACATTTTCCGAGCGGCCTGACTTGTCCAGCTCGATCGTGGGTCTTGACCCTGCACCCGCCTCAAGACCGCCAACCAGGATGAGCCGGTTCAGGTTCTTGGCGATCTTCATGACCTTGCCTTTCTCAATGCGCTGTGTGGCATAGGTCTCGTGCTCCTTCTCGCCAACTCGTCCACCACTGTCCGTCGCGGGCGTTGCACCAAAACAACAGTAACTGGAGTCTGTTCGTCCCAGTGGCTTTGTTCCAATGTCGGCCAAATTCAAAGTGGTGCTGATTTGCTTCACCTCCAAGGTTCCATCAGCCACCTTGTCCTGGCGCCACAGCAAGCGACCATTGATGTGGCGTAATCGCCCACTTCTCCGCTTGCAAGCTATTTGCCGAGTGGCTGAGTTGTCAATCCAGCAAACGTGTTGAATCTCTTGAACTGTGAGGAACTCGGGGCATACCTGATGCAAATGAGACAGGGTGAAACTGAGCCGAACTACACCGAAAACACTGTACTCTGTGCACTCAGCCAGCAGGGCGCGGGCCCACTTCCAGGACAAGGACTGAGGTCCTCGCCTGGCATCTGGCGTGGTGTATGTCATGTCTGTGTCGAAGGCTCGCACGTTCGCATATGCGCTCAATGGCCTTTGTGACGTTCGACCTTCGGGCAGAGGAGTGCAGTGTCAGCACTCAGAAGAGCGGTTTCTGTCCGTCATGTTCAGAGTCTTCTCCATCTGGAGGGAGAAGATTGATCCAATTTCGTTTTGCAAAGTGAGTGCACAATGCAAAGGTATGGCTTTGCATAAGGCCCTCGCCAAGTGGTTGGCTTGCTCATTTGTGTAAATCGAGTTAGTTGACTGCAGTTGAAGAAAGTTCTGTGAGCTATGTATTGAAGTGTCGGTGGAACATGTACTTCTCTAAGGGCAGTGCAGAACATGAAAGCCTCTTTGCCCATGCGCCTCAACTTGGTTGGAAGCCAAATGTGCTCAAGATTCACGCAATGTGAGAAAGTGGATCCCCAGATGGCGTCAATCAGAGTGCTGGATAGGTCGACAAAGACAAGTTGCTTGCAATTTTCACAAGCTAACGGCCCTAGGAAGTTAATGTCTGGAGGGAGCTTCAGGTATTCAATGCCTGATGAGCTGAAACTTCCTTCTGGTCCTCAAGAGAGCGATGAACCTGACTGCACGCTTGATTCTCAAGTAGTTTGGACAGTTTCAGCAAAGTCAACTTGGGATAGTGCAAGGCAGCTTTCAAAGGCATATGGGGAGATTTGGACCCCTGGAGCAAGCTCGTTGGTCTCTCCTTCATCAGTACGAATGCACCGAAGCGAGCAACATTCTGCAAATGCTCGACGACCGAAGTTCACGCACCCCGGGGCCACTACTTGGGTCAGTGCGTGGCAGCCTTGGAAGGCACCTTCTTTGATGCATACTACAGTGGTAGGTAATCTTACGAGTTGGAGCTGGTGACAGCTTTGCCATACTGCTCCGATTGTGTGAATGCCAGTCTCGACTAGAACGTGCCTCAGTCGTGGGACCGAAAAAAAAGCATTGTCTGGGACAACACCAGCGTCGTCTGCTGGAATTACGATGGCTCGTGGGTAAATTCGGTTACCATCTTTTTGAAGTTGTCGTTTGTGTTCAATGCTGACAAAGCAATTTCTGACAACTAAATTGGAACGAGCGCAATCACACAGAGTGCCCATATAGGATCCTTTAAGAGCTTCTGAGTGCTCGGGTGAACGCAATCAAGCTCACACCCAAACGTGGCAATCTGGCTGACAGTATAGGCAGGCATTCCACAACTACATCTTCAAGCTCATCTTGCCGGTCATGCTCCCGAAGCTCAGTTGGCAGTAGAATTTCTTCTCCTGCAAGTGTGATGAGCCTAAGTTGAAAGGTAGCACAGTCTTCGCGCCGGCCGGGGTGCTGGCTTAAGAGGGACCTCCAGCTGCCATGGGGATCCAAGTGTAGGCACTTGTCGTGATGCGGGACCCTTCGCGCTTGAGCCAATGTCACGTTGCAGCAGCCTTTGTGGACGGGTCACCCGCGGGGGCCTTCATGGACCGCACTCCTGGACTGTGGCTCGATTGAATGAATACTGGATAGGTTACGATGCTCTGCCGTTGCCAAGTGTCCTGCATTTTTTCCACGAGTGCGGACGCCGTGTGGGCGGTGTGCCCAGGTCATCATGAGAAGTATGGAAACACTGCGTATCGGTGGGCGGAGAAGAACAAGAACAAAAACTAAAAAAAAAATTGCACGAGTCGAGGCGCTATGTGTGCAGGTTCTGCACAAGTCACCTAGTTCGAGTTAAGAAGGAGTTGCTGTACAGGTTGCATACCAACCGCAAGAAGAGAACCCCCAAACCGCCAAAACAAGAACAAAAACAAAAACCAAAAGCCCCAAAAAACCCAAACCAAGAACACCACCAAAGACCCCCAAGCCAAAGTAGGCAGTGTTTCCTCTGTACTAAGGTGAGACAGGTGAAAGTTAACGAGATTCAAACTACCTAAGGGCCTGAATTCACAACGAAGGGCAAAATGTTTCTGGGCGTGGCCATTTTCCATTGGCAGGGATGAGATCATCCCAGCCACCTTTGGTCGCTGGCACTTTTTTTCCACGAGTACGGACGCCGTGTGGGCGGAGTGCCCAGGTCATCATTGAAGGGAAAGGAAACACAACATGATGAGGGGGAAAAGAACACAAGCAAACCCCAAAAGGCAAACAAAAACCAACCAAACAAGAACCCCAAAACAAACACAACCAAAAGGCCAGAGGCCGAATCCCCCTCATCTAAAAGTGTTTCCTCTGTACTAAGGTGAGACAGGTGAGAAAAGTTGGCTGTAAACTATCTATGGGCCTGAATTCGCTACGAAAGTCTGTCAGAAGGGGCAGCGCACGAGCGGAGTGCAACGAAGCCAATCAAAGGGGCTTCGCTCCACCCTCAAAACTGTGACCAAACTGCCACTGCATCGATTGGCAAACCGTGGTAACTGGGTGCTTTGCAGGAGCTGCTCTGATTGTCAGCAGGTCTGATTCTTGCCCAAGGAATTCAGTTGTTGCAATGCCAAGCATGCCGCGGAAAAGTCCCTTCTCGTTGCACAACCCTTTCAACTGATTGCACGAACGAAGCGAGAGGCATATCAGTGGTCAGGCAGTGGAGGCAGAAGCAAACGAAGAGAGCTTGCTGACAAGGGTGCTGCATTCCCCCCCAAAGGGAGGTCTCCTTTGCACCCCTTGGCACCCAAGAAGTGCCAAAGAGGTATGTTCTGTTCCTGAAAGAAAGAGAGGCGCCACCGTGAAAACATCCTCCTGTTACGTGCAAGGCCCGTGTGAAACAGGTGAAACCGTGGACCTATCCTAGCATGGCGCTTGTGCCTCTTTGTACAAAATTGGCCATGGCATGGCAGCCGCAGAGAGTAACTAAGGTTCTCCCTGGCCGCCTTCCATTACCATTCTCTACCACCCGCCTTTTGGGAACGAGAAGCTAAGGCTCTCATTCCTGTAGGCTCACTGAATCGTAGATGGTGAGGACGAAGTGGTGACTCTGCTTGAACTTTGTTAAGCCTGGCAAGCATAATCGAAGTGGCGGAGGAGAAATGCACCACCACTGTTATTAGAGCGTTGCCAGCCAGGGGTAAGGCTTCTTGAAAGTCTTCTCTCCATTGG